TCTTGACTTTAAAAAAACACTTATAAAGTGATTTGGGGAAAAAATGCTAATAGTAAGAGTTTGATGGTGTTTGAGAAGAAAATTGATTTTAAAAAGTAAAGGTTGATAGTGTTTGGTAAAGTATATGCTTTCTGTGTAATAGAAAAATAAAAAAACATATTCTAGCTTTTAGCTTTTAAGTGTTTAATTTAAGGAGAAGTTTTCAGCTTTTTTAGTCTAACAGTCGAAAATCGTTTTTTTTATCTTATGCAAACATACCCTTATAATATACACATTTTGTATAGATATAGTGTACACCCCTATTAGTTGTCTGTCTACAAGACAACTTCTAGACGAATTGTCTGTACAGACAGATAACTACGGAGTGTACACCATATGTGTACAGTATGTGGAGGTGTACACCATATGTGTACAAAATATGTGTACCAACAACATTTTGCATCAGAAAAATGCAACAAACCAATTTAAAAAATACTATTACCTTCCACAAATATGATCAGGTCCGAACGTTCGAACAGGATCCTCCGTCCGAACATCCCTGTTTGTAGCCCTTACCGGTGGAATTTTTTGATGAAATTTTTGAGCATGTTCCTCAGCCAAACCAGCCGATTTTCCTTCTACCAAACGGGCTCCTAGTCTAGTTTGTCCATACCAAATTTCAGCTCAAAATTCGGCCGGGGAGGCATTCAAATCATTTTTTGAAGTTGACTGCGTTTTTATATGTATATTTTGACGCAGTCAACTTCAAAAAATGATTTGAATGCCTTCCCGACCGAATTTTGAGCTGAAATTTGGTATGGACAAACTAGACTTGATGAGAAACATGTTCAAAAAAAATCATCAAAAAATTCCACCAAGAAGGGTCCCAAACGTCCATGTTCGGACGGTATTCGTACCAGGAATGTTCGGACCTGAACATTCCTCTGCCTTCCTATATAGTACGAAGTATGTAACATGCTCAATTATCACTTTTTCATATAAAATTTTAAACAAATTTTATCAAGAAATAAAGATTTTATCGAACACGGAGTTCGTCAAGACTTGAATTAGCCCCGTCTAGATATGGATATGGAGTAAATCCATTATTTCTACATTGATAAGTAAATATTTGAGATTATTGAATCAAAGGAATGTAAAGCCTATTTGGCAACACTGGAATTAGATGAATCAGCTTATTCTATTGAAATTGATGAAATTCTATCTCACTTGTATTCAAACCTCATTTTAAATATATTACCGGATCGTAACCTAACAATTGAATTTCAAATCGAAGACTCTATTTACATCAAACATGCTATATTTACTCTGAAAACGCTGCATTACAAAAACAGACTAAGTATTTGATTTAGAGCCCGTTTGGTAGCATGAGAATTGGCTGTTTTGGCTGATTCTGCTGAAATTTATGAAGTTCTGGCTGAAGTGGCTGCATTGGCTGATGCTGCTGATTTAAGAAAAAATTATATGTAAAAATAGCTAAAATAGTCATCCACAGTAACTTCAGCCAATACAGCCAGAAAAGTAACTCTAACCTTACTTTTTCTGCTTATTACACAATTCAGCGCGCGAAAGCAAAAATTGCGTGTTTGGTGAAAAAGCTGGCTGATAAGCCTGATAAGCCAAAAAACTGGGTTGCCAGACGGGCTCTTAAACTTATCTTGTTGTATGTTCCTCTCTATCAAGTGCCTTATATTTCATTGGAAAGATTGTTTTGAGTTCGAAAACTATTGTTCAGGTTTCATTTGAATGTATTAAAGAATAAGTACATATTAATCTGAAATTTATAGACCTTTCCTATTTCCCTCCAATCTCTAACCAGCTTGCAGTTCCAAGCTTTCTGGGAAACCAAAAAAAAAAAACAAAGTTTGTCTTTTTAAAACCAGAATATTAGCAGCTTGAAAAGCTCGAGTGCTCTTGATCAAATTGGTCACGTTTATATAAACAGGATTCTATATTTATAATTATTTAATTAAATAACATTGTCCATACCCACACCCCACCCATAAAAGTCCAAAACACTTTTTTCTTCTCGTTGAAATTAAAGAATCCAATACTTTGGCTTAAAAGTTATAGAGCCTAAATCGAATGAAATTAATGAAGTTCCGGTTGAAGTGGATGTATTGAATGATTCTGCTGATTTATGAAAAAATTTATTTAAAATATATTTTATTAATAAATAAAGAAAAAAGTTGTATGAAAAAATAGCTAAAATGGTCATCTACAATAATTTCAGTCAATACAGCTAGAAAAGTAACTTTAACCTTAACTTTTTCTTATTATTATATTCGATATAATTTAGTGCAAGGGATCGAAAATTACATCTTTGGATAAAAAAATTACTCATAATAATTTAAATATGACCAATACAGGCGTGAAAAAAGAGGGAGCTATTTCCTGGAAGAAACCAAAAAAAAAAAAGCAAAAGGTTCATACTTCGTATAAAGCAAACAAAAAAAAAGTAGACTTTGGAGCCGTTTCAGCAAAAGGTAAAACAGTAGGTCGCACTTAATAATTAGAACAAAAAAAATTATTTATACTCACTCTTGTACCGATTTTTGTATCTATCATGTCTTGTGAGAAATTTTTTTTGTCTATAAATCCCGGTCACAGACAAAATATGTCTATGTAAATTATTTTGTTTGTTAATCGGATTCACAGACAAAGAAAACTCCTCACAGACATGGTGAGTATAAGATGGGTATAAAAATGTGTACAAGAAGAAATTCTCTAGTTAGAACTCTAATAATTACTCGAAAATATAAGATCTAACAGATAACATATTGAAGAGCACGCAAGGAACAGAATATAGCAGAAAAGAACTCCTTTTAACAGGGGCGGGTGGGGGGAAATGGGTCAACGCAGTTTCCACCTTGACAGCTTCTTGAACTGAAGTAGCTACGGAGAATCTGAGAAACCGTCGTGAGGGAGTAGCTGCACGGCAGAGCTAGACAGCGGCCGCTGGGAAAGTTGTTAAATGTCCCACACCGGAAAAGTTTGAATGAACAAAGTGTTATATTAACACATGAGCTACTCCTAACAGGTTGACCTTTTAGGATGGAACCCCAGGTCTTAACATGTATCAGAGCCAATTTTGGTTATGGTTTGACGGCTTGTTTAGCACCCATGATTAAGGGTAGCTTGCTAAGGGTTTGTTTGGCCCGTTTATACACCCCGATATTTCCAGCCCGGTTCGGGCTGAGGGGCGTGTTAAAGCATTTGTCCCACACCGGAAAGCTATAAAACAATTAAACGCTATATAAGGCTTTGGGCTACTCCTCCTATCAGGTTGACCTTTTAGGATGGAACCTCAGGTCTTAACATGGTATCAGAGCCAAATTGATACATGGTGTGGGCCCCTTATGAATCGTGATGACACGATTATAAAAAAAATGACAATTACGGTCCGATGAATAAAAACAGATCGATGAAAAAAATTAATGATGGCACGATCCAGACGAAATGTCTTGTCGTGAGGATGGGTGTTAAATATCCCACACCGGAAAAGTTTGGATCAACGAAGTGCTATATTAACATATGAACTACTTTTTCTAATATGTTGATCTTTTAGGATGGAAGTCATGGAACCTCAATCTTAACAAAAGCTGGATAGTTGGGATTCCACAGGACCATAATGTCTGGCCGGGTGCAGTGCTATTTATGTACTTGTAGTTCATACTTTTCTTAGGTGGTGATTGAGATGTGTGCGCCAGAAAATAATTGGAAGTACGAATTTTTTTAATTTGTAGTCCGTAGGAGTGTTTATTTCAAGCCCCACAATACTTGAAACTATAATCAGATAAATGGAACAAACCAATTTTAAAAGATATACTACTACCCCCTAATTTTAAAAGATATACTACTACCCCTATATATGTAACGTCATGGATGTTTTTATTTAAAATGTTTTCCATCTCAAATCAGATTAGATTAGATCAGACTTAAATAAATCAAGATAGACCAGATTGGACTTAAACAGACCAGACCAGACCAAACCAGACCAGACCAAACCAGACCAGACTTGACTTCCGTATTATAAAATACACAGAGACCAGACGTTTACCAGACCAAATTAGATCAGACCAGACCAGACCAACAAATTAGATTCCAAGTAAAAACATCTAAGTACTACTATAAGTACAAGTGTTGATAATTACTCTCTCCGTCACAAAGATTCTCTCATCTTTCTTTTTCAATTCGTCCCACTAATTTTTTTTAATGCCAAGTATGGTAAATTTTGTGTGTTTCTAAATCATTTTTACTTGTTCTCTATCAATTCAATATCAACTACATCAACCATATTTCATTAATGACCCTCTTCATGTGTCAATGTTAGTAAGACGGATGTAGTAATAATACTTGGTAAATTATTGGGATTAGTAATACTGCTTTTAATATATACTCTGTACTAGTTTTTAACTACGGGATAACCAACAAACAAATTGCTCACGTAGCCATCCAATTATTCAAAGATCTATGCACATGTATACAATTTATTTCATTTGATAATAGTATTCCCAAATACACATTTTTAGCTTTAGCAACTATCAATCTTTTAGCATCCCAAAGATACATTTATGTCCACATTATATCTGAAGAATGCATACTCTCGTTGTTGTAAAGAATGAGTGCGAATCTTGCATCTCCCATCAAGAGCTGATCTAAGAAATTTACCCAATTTAACTGTGACTTATTGCATACAAATAATGTATCTTTTCCGTATTAAAAAAACTTTGAAATAAAGCAATCATTTAACATCTCACTCAAGAAAGTTCATTAATTCCGTTCTATATAATTATAAAGAATGAAATTAATACTTACTTCCCTAGAATATAAATGATTAAATATAGTTAAAACTAATACGATGCATATTTTAGCAGGCAGTTTTATTGCTATGAGAATGTTTCATGGTTCGAACCTCGAAGTAGTAAAAATCAAATGTTCATAGAATATTAAACATACAAAAAAGTCAGGCACCCATTCAACAGTAATAGTAATTTTTTAAGGGAAAATAATTAATTAAATCATGATTAAGATATAAAAAAAAGAATACAAGCTGGAGAAAATTAAAACCAAGAACACCAATCAAACAAGGAACTTGACGCTTTTGTTAAGGAGTGAGTCACCCGGTTCACATATCGTTTAATACTCCGTATAAAAACAAAATCAAGACTAACAAAGTTTGCTTGAATTTATCTAATATCCTCAGCGATCATCCCAAAAGCAATTATGGAGCTTGGATTGGTTGGATCGAATCAGATTCGACGTCATTCAAGTCATAATTCATGACCCAACTTTATGCTTCTCGGGTACCGAAGATTTCAGCTTCACAAACAGAGCACTTCCCGAGCACCTTAGATGACCCTCCTGCTATGAAGCTACCCACTGAAGCAGTGTTTGCATTTGCTTTTTTAAGCACTTTGGAACTTTTAGCTTTGGAAAAGCTAAAAATGGTGTTTGCTAACCTCAGATTCTGTTTTTTTAAAGTGCTTTTAAGTCAAAATCTAAAAGCTACCCAAGTGGTGCTTTTTAGTACTTTTAGGTAATGTTGTAAATAACTCCAACTTTAGGGATAATGTTATACCCAATTAAACCCAAAATATTTATATATAATACTCCCTCTGTCCCCCTAAGTTTGGGACGGAGGGGTGTGGTGTGGTTTTTAAGAAAAAGTGGAATTGTGTGGTTGGTATTGAATTGATAAAGTGTAAATAAAGTAAGAATGAATTCTAACCACTCAAATGTTACCAAATATGGTATGAGACAAACTTAGTGGGACGGACGAAAAAGGTAAAACAGGACAAACTTAAGGGGACGGAGGGAGTATATACTTAAGAATTTTTTTCCTTGTAGGGACCGTGACCACCTCCAGCTCCTCCCTGTCTCCACCCCTGCAGTCGAGTCCCCATCCGTCTCCCACCACAGCACCATCAATATTCAGTTTTATCCTACCTGTTGTAGGATAAAGCTTTCCACATAGACCGGACCTACTGCAAATTCCTTTTGTTGGCCCCTTACTTTTGGGCTTGCTGCCATGCCGACCAAAAGGCTTTCACCGTGCTAAAATGGCTTCGGGCCTTCGGGGTTCATGTAATATTCTGCGGCATCTTTTCATTTTAGGCCAGCCACAAACCTTAATAAACCATAACCATGAAGCTGCAATCCTCTCTATTACTTGCACCAAAAAAGCCTCCAACCAACCAAGAAAAGAAACAACTCCACTCCCAATGAAGTCCCAACCGGATTGCCGCCACACCAGCTGTGCAACCTAGCAGGAAACAAATAAATGATGTGAGGATTCTGGTGGAACTCCACGCCACAACCCCAACCCATGCACACGTCTTCCACGTAATGATCAGAACACCTTCAAATGATCAGAACTCACTCTTAATTCCATAAATCTAATTCCAACTTGCTTAGTCAAAAACCATAGTTCAATATATAAAAAAGAGCATAATAAAAAAATGCAGTTTTACCTTTGGCATGAAATTTTGAGATTTTCTCATAGAAAAGAGAAGAAGAATCATAGAAACAAACTTTAGGATCTAACAAAAGAAAAATGATCACACGAAGTAATATGAGTTCAAACAAGCAAGAAGACACTCTGAATTTTTTTAACTTTGGTGTGAAGCTCTGTATGGCTTCATCACCAGTTTATTTCATTTATAAGCAAACGAAAGAATAAGAGAGTGGTTGCTACAATTCAGCAACTCACCCATGATCTACTCCATTATTTTTTACCAATTCAAAACCTATCCATATTCCTATAAAATAGCTACGCAGAACAACTCAAAATAAAACTTATTTTCCTACGTAAACTAGTTTCAGGCAATAACCTATTTATGCAAAATATGTAACAATAAAACAAGTTTAATCAACACAAACTACATTTTCTCATATTCTAGCCTTCACTTTCTTCTATATTCTTTAGCTCAAATATGTAGAAAAAAATCTAAACAGAAAAGCTACATTTTGCAAAAGAGAAATAATGTTACTGCACTTTGTAAAGTAAACGAAAAAACAATCTGAAGATTCTGAACCACCCCTGTATTCTAAAACCATTCCTAAGAATATGACATAATAACAATGATCCAAATAAGACTTTAATGAAAGTTTACATGCTGGAATAAAAGACGGTGCAAATAGCCAAATACACAAAATACACACACAATATATGTACCTCCTTTACTCCTTAGCAGTAATTATCGCATAACTTAATCAAAAGTAATACTGCTTTTAATAAACTTCGTATTTGGCTAGGAAGATGTTTTAGACTAATTTTTAGACTTATATGTCGTCGGAAATATTGGGACACTGATGAAATATTGCTACTTTGAGTCTTTGACAAAGTAAATTATTGTTTAAATCTAAATCCCGAAATCACATTGTTTTGATATCAAGTTCTCCGTAAAAGGAATAATTTAAAATTATAGGAGCATGTTATTACTAATTTGAGTAGAGAAATAAAGTAATCAAAGTGAAGGGAGAAGCTACATTTACCATACAATGATACTCCTATTTGAAGAAGACTCGGGACTCATTTATCATTATAAGCAGAAATCTAATCTTCTATCTAAATAAGGCTCAATACTAAAGTTAACTATTTGCCTATAATATTTAAACTAATTCATAATAATTAAAAGGGGTTATGTTTAAAATATTACTAAAAAAAGAGATGTGGACAAAAAAGAGACCTTATCTTTTAAATTCCAAAAGAGATGTGCGTTTTCCTAAATTTCCTTTAAAATTGATTGGCCTTAAAGTGCACAAAAAATACGGTAGAAGTATTGAATCAAAGGAATGTAAAGCCTGTTTTGTAATGCTAAAATTGGATGAATCGGTTTATTCTGCCGAAATTGATGAAATCCCGTTTGACCCGTATTTAGGCCCCATTTTCAAAATATTACGAGATTTTTATCTAATGAATCTAATTTCAAATCTAAGACTCTATTTTCATAAAATATGCTCTACTTACTCTGAAAACGTTGTTTTACAAAAAAAAAGAATAAGTATTTGATTTGAACATATCTTGTTGTATGTTCTTCTGTTCAAACGTTTTATATCTCATTGAAAATAAATATTATTTTGAGTTCAAAAGCAATTCAAATTTCATTTACAATGAACCAAAAATAGACACACATTAACTTGAAACTAAAAAGATTTTTAATTTCACTCAGAAATCATATTTGATTGAATTGACTGAATCTCTTGTGTTAAGAAAAATATAACTTCAACTTACTTTTTTTATCACAATAAAATTGAACACATGAAATGAAAAGTTACATAATTTCTACATTATTTGTTTAATATTGTTTGTCTAAAATTGGGACAATCATTATAATGGTGCAGTCAACCCTAAATTGGGGTGGGCCATATTGAGATTGAATACTTCGCATATTCCATTCACATTTTATGTTCCCTATCATTTTTGTTTTGACACCTTTTGTAAAAAAGTGGGACCACACAAGTCGAGCTTTATTTTATTCACAAAAATATTTTTGTACACACCAACTTATACATATATGTGAATTTATATATGTCTGTGAGCAGCTATTTTTTGCATAATGCGTTTACTATGAACACGTTTACTATGAAGTATGAACACACCGTTCACATAAAACAAATACTCCCTCCGTCCCAAAAACAACTTCCCACTTTCCTTAAATGGATATTCCAAAATTAATTTCACACTTCAATACTTTCTTTATTTGGCAAATTATCTACATAAAAAAAGTGATAAACAGTGCCAAACAGTGTTTGAACAGTGCCAAACAGTGTTTAAACAGTGTCAAACAGTGTTTAAACATTGCAAAAAAGTGTACTCTACAGTAAAGTCAAATTTATTTTTTAAAAGTGTGTGAAAATCCAACTGAGAAGTTGTTTTCGGGACGGAGGGAGTACGAAGTAGTTATTCACATAAGTGTAGAGGATTATGGGCACAAAAGTACCAAAATTCAAAGATGTCACGAGTGACATCACCTTATAGATGTAAGATGGAAATTTTGAACTGATTACTCTTGTTCGGAAATTTGAGTGCACGTGGCACAGCATAGGCCTTAAAACCGCATGATTGAAAGGCCCTTTTGTTTTGATTGGTCAGGAATGCAAATTTGTCAGTATTTCTTGCGCCTCACGCACGATGTTTGACCGGGTTATAGATACTCCCTAGAATTAGTGGAAGATCCACTCACTAGTCACTAGTATCGGCTTTATCATAATGGAATCACCCACCGTCGAACAGAAATGTCAGGGATACACAAGTTGTACACAACTTGTATATAATATGTTGGTTACAGATAATTGGTATAGAGTTGCCGCTGAGCACAGACAAGATATGTCTGTGTACATAGACAAGATATGTCTGTGTACACCTGTGTACATAGACATTTACTTTCATGTAAAATACACTGACATCCGTCTTACACCAATTTGCAAATAAATCTACATGTGCAGTGCATGTGTGCATAGACAATATTTACCACACAGATAATAGTTGTGCGGCTCACAGACAATAGTTGTCTGTGTGATCAACTTTAGTTGTCGGTGTCATTAATTTTAATTGTCTGGTTGAACAAAAAAAATATAGAAAAATTGGAAAAATTGGAAAAATAATAAAAATAGATGAAATAAGATTAATAAATTGATTTTGTGCAAATAATGAAAAAAGTTATATAAAAAGGTAGAGAAAAAGAAGATGAAGAATGAAAATGGAGGAAGAAGAAGATAAGATGATCATCCCATTTTTTTTGTGAATTTTAGAAGAGATTAAGTAAAGAGGACAAAGAGAATGGAGAGGGGCGAAGAGAGAAGGGAGAGAGAAGAGAGGGGGGGGAAATGAGAATTTTTTGCTTCTATACTATGTACAACTTGTGTTCATGGTGTACACTAAGCATTTTTCTTAGCAGAAAAATTATACTAATTTAATAGCCCTTTTATTAGTGCCTTAATGTACATGAGTCGTACACAATTTGTACACAAACCCCCCCTAGTTGTCTGTGTACAGACAATATACAAATTTCGTGTAGATTGTGTGTACACCAAGAATGGCCCACGAAAGTAAATAGGCATTTGCCATTTAAGTGTATAAATAAATTGTGCAAACCATTCCAAAAAGTATAAAATAGTAATAGTACTGTAGCACTATCAAATGGATGCAACCTGCGTCCCAAATTGATTTGCAAATTTAACTTTTCTTGATCAAACAATTTCATTTTATTTGCTTAATTGGGATGTCAATTTTTAATTATAATCTAATTTGGAGTTTTCAACTTTGAAGAGATTTTAATGTAGTTTCTGAATATATAAATTTTAATTAATAAAAGTTGAATTAATTATCGATGGGGAGGATTGACTTTTATTATTGGTTGACTTTGCATTTGGGATGGAGGAAGTTTTTTTAAGTGCCATGATGCCAAGAAAATTACTATGGAGTAGGTATGATACAAATAATATTACACGTGTTATTACTAAGTACGGCACTAATAGAAGGGTTATTAAATTAAAATAACGTAAAAATTAAACATTTATGATCAACCATACATTACACGGATTTGATTTACTCCTATATTTTTTTGAACATTCTTCTAAACCTGTATAGTATCTAATCTAGTTAATGTCAACATCCTTGATTGGGATCAGACTCGAACCTGCGACCACAAGGTACTTGGCATTTACTCCTATACTTATTTGTTACCATTTGTATTTTTAGAGCACGTTGGTGATCCCTATTTTCAGCTAATCGGCATTATCAATTATTTTTATTACAAAAACTGAAAAAAGTGACATGTATATTACGAATAGAGTTTTCCTGATGAAATTATGTGACGAGTCATTGAGAACTAGTCACTGAATGTCATTTTTTCATTTTGGAGTACATTTTTTCTTTATTTTATTAATAAGCTAAATCTTATTTTTTTTTTTAAATTCAGAAAATTCAGCCAATTCTATCAATTCAGTCAAAATTTTACCAATTTCAATAGATTCAGCCGAATCAGTCAATTTCAGTGTTACTAAACACGCTCTAGTATACTATGGAGTAGTATTTTTATTTCATTTTTTAAACAAAACATATACCTTTTTATTAGATATTTTATAATGAAGAATTAATCGTTACCGTTATAACTTGCCAAAGTTTTAAAGAGACGGGGAAGTAGTCTTCAATATTTGAGAAATAGTAAATCAGAAGTTACTTTTCTAATTGAATTACTTGAAGTTGTTGAAGAGGGAAATTTTGATTTTTTGTCACTAGTGGAAAAACGTTAACCCACGGTGCCACTTTTAGAACGTTTACATAATAATCGCCTTTGAAAACCTTAATCTGCGGCTTAATGAATGCCTTAAAATTACGTAATATGCGCCACACGGGAACAATCATTGGGGGTATTTTTTTATTTTTTAAAATAATTTGTGGCACTTTTCGTTAATTATGCGTCACACGGTAACAATAAGTAGTTTTTTTTTATTAATTTTTAAAAACATATACATGCGGTGCTTTTATTTAAAAACATATACATGCGGTTCAGCTCAGCTGGTCGCCGACTACCCTCCCTTATGGGAGGTTCCCGGTTCAATTCTCAATGGAGTGAGATTGAACCCGGTTTACCCCAGGCCCCCAACCCCCTAGCTCCCTCCGACCCCCC